AGCGTTAACACGACCATGTGACCACTCATGCGGCCACCATAATGGCAGAGTGATTGTACGCATACAAATTGTATGCCTAACTGAAATCTAGCCCAAAGTAATCTACAACTACGCGCTCTGACCGAACGCAATACAAAAACAACAATACATACAACGTTTTAAAATTAGGTGTTTAATTTCGCTGCAAATACGGCATTTATTACACGATGAAAACATTAATAGAGATTTTGAAATAAAAATCACTAAAGCAGAGTTAATCTCGCTGCGCGCTACTTAATATAAGTTCACACACAAACACATATAAATCCATAAGCAAACCCTCCGCTGTGTGATAAAATTTGGTCCAGTCCGAACAAAGTAATCCAATGCGACTTTGCCTGCCGCGCCAATGGCTAACCAGCTTTAAGCTCTAAATGCATAAATTTGCTTATTGGCTTGGCGACTTTTGAAGAGGAGGAGGAGAGTGACGCGCGCAATGCAGATTCGTTGAATGGGGTATATTGTTGGCGTAGAATAGCGTATATGTGGCGTGTTGCATGAATGAAGTATGTAGCATGTTGCATGCGGTAAGCCACGCTTGCATTCATATATCGGCTAATCTCAGTCGTGGTCAACAACAAAAACAACAATAGCAGTAATAATTTGCTAACAAACAAGCATTGACGGTTTCAAAGCAGAGAATAAGGCACTGCCAGTCGCACGTACTCACCTACATACACATGCAGTCATATTATTGAGTTTGCAGACTGTCACACACACACACGCACACACATCTAGTAGCATAACATATATGAGCAAACAAAGGCAACAAACGGACGATATATAACGTGTTGGCAGAAATATTAACAGATTTGTCTATGTGTATGTATGTGCGTATATGTAGACTGTGTTTTGCCGCCCGCCCTCCCCCGAACGTCACTGACATGCAAACTGCTTGAGCCGAAATATAATCTGAGTTTCTAATGCAGCAAAAACCGGTTTTGGGCCCACAACAAACATGTATGTTGCAACAACAAATAGCAACGTTAGTTAGCGCAGTAAATGAATAGTGGCTGCAGTTTCCAACTAATTGCAACAACAACAACTATCACATCGGCAAGCAATATCAAATATAACAGAATCAGACATTTACCGCTTCACGTAACAGGCAAAGCAGAGGCGGCAACACCAACTACCAGTCCCACCTAGAGACACAGTTTTTCGGCGGAGAGGCGGCCTCAGTCCTAGCCTCACCATCAGCCTCAGCTTCAGCTGCAGTTTCAGTTTCGAGCTCGATTCTTAGCTTCTATAACTGTGGCAAGTTATTGCTCATGTTGTTATTGGCTTTGTCATTGTTGCATCGTTGTGATTATGTACCATTGTTGGTGTCACATGCAGCACCGTGTGCATTTTCGGCTCCTTGTAAATAGCCAGTTTATTGATTGCAAATTCGGAATTTACTGCCAACCGAGACATTACATTTCTTGTGGCCACCGGAGTTTTGTAGCTAAGGCAACAGCGCTCAGAGCATCAACGGTTCTGGCGTCAATTCTGCTGTATGCACACATACATATGCGCGGTGTAGATTGTAGGTGTTTGCTATGTATAGCGCTATATTCATACGGCGAATTTTAATTGTTGCAAGTACTCTGCATCGTGCTGCAAGAACTTTATCTCTGTTAGTCATATGTTGGGCCTCTTGGATTGGCGCCCATTGTAGTGTAGAACGAACGCTTATCGCTAGTATTACAACTGAAGTTTAATTTCCGTTGAAATTCTACTGCAATACCGTTGACTTGAATGGCAGATGCTGTCGCAAAGGTTACGCACAGTTAAAGTAAGGTATTGATGATAAGCGCTACCAAGAAATTTTTGCCGAACCCTGGTGTCCAATTAGTGTTTTTTTCAAGAGGTAAACGTATTAGAAATTAAAGTAACCAAAATTAGATCCCTGTTTCTCTTATTCGAAAGCATTTTTTTTTTACAAAAGTCCGAAGAATAAGCTATAGTATAAAACTCAACTGAAGTTGATTCTTGTATACTCAGAAAGAATTAAAACCTTCAACGGTCATTGCTAGCGTTCATTTTAATCCACTTAACCGAAAAGCTTTCTGAAATCATATCGATTGTAAGATCAACGTTTAAAAGACGTTCACAACTTCTGAAAATCTCTGATTTTAATTCTTCTTTCGGAGTTGGTCTCTTCGACAGCTGTTAACAGACTTACTTTGGAACTACCTTTGTAAATCGTATAAAATCAGAAGCCATGGAGACGCCGTTTATCCTTAAAAAAATTCACTGTTTAGTGTGATCTATGGGCCATATAACCATATATACACTATAGAGCCATGATTGATTACTTTTTCGTGCCTAGATTGCAGAATGTTGATGTTTACGACGTTTCATTCGAACAAGACGGTGGCACGAAATAAACTATTTATTTAAAAAAACTTTTAGCGAGCCTATTATCTCGCGTCGGGAGCCTATGGCGTGGCCGCCAAGAATGTTCTTCAACTCCTTGGCTGCTTGAATGCCTGGAATATCATCATAAAATTATCCCTTCGTGTTGGTTTTCAGTATTGGAAATAGAAAATAGTCATATAGTAATAGATTAGGCGAACATGGAGTGTGTGGATTAATGAGATAAATCCGTTTTTTTTTATTAAAATCTCGTTCACTTTTTTAATCTTGTGTTAAAAACGGCTGTTTTCCTGCGCGATATTCAAGTCTAACACGACCAATTCCTTTCCACAAACGATGTAAACTGCCTAAATAGTATTCTGTAATAACAGTTTAGCCTTCAGAAAGAAATTCCTTGAGGAAAATACGTTTCGAATCACAAAAAGTAATCAACATTGTATTTATTTGAGACTTCTGAAAATATCTGTTCTCGCCTTTGGATTTACATTCTGCAGATTGACCCTTGGGTTGAGTGCCAGTTATGATCAAACAAAGAAAATTTGAACCTTTTTCAGCAGTTTCAACAATGTATTTGGAATGCTCCACACTTTTTATGGCCTTCATTAATTTCATGTGAAACAAAACCCACACAGACCTTTCTATTAAATTATCATCAATTAAAATTCTCTAAATAGTATTTTTACTTGTATTCCCTCAGCCAACATTTGAACGTCATCTAAATCTTGATAACCATTTTAAAATTCTGTAAACCATGTAAACACTTGAATACGACAGATACAGTTATCATAATAACCTTTTTTTTCCCTCAATCCGTAGTAATGAAACAATTGCGCTTTTTTTATTAGGTGCGTTTGAAAGTGGATGAACGTATTTTTTTAATGTTAAAGTTGGAAATTTTAGCTCGTATACTGGCCTGTAACACTACTATTGATACGTAGAAACTCGAAATTTAATATTACAGAGAGCGAGAAACATTTATATTTTATTTTAGTTAAGCATGTAAACAAATGTCTCTTCAAATGACGTGATTCTGTTAAAATGCAGTAAGACATATCATAAAATTTTGTTAAATGTTTTTTCACAAAATTTGGCACTGATAATTTTAACATTTTTCCGGCATATTAAATGCTAGAAAAAGCAACTATTTTATATAAAGAATATAAAATATTTTTAATAAACAAGCAAATTGTCGGCAATTGAACTATGCGGTACATATTGAATCACACCTTCAATGACCAAATACACAAGATCAACGTGCGAATAATGTTGTAATAAATGCAATAAAAATGAAAATCAAATACAGCAATTACAAAAACAAAAGCACAATGTGAGCGTTGTTAACTGACTTTTATGTCAAACGAAACTAAAACAATGCGCAACCAGTTTATTTTCGCACGAAACCGGATTAAAGTGAGTAACTATGAGAAAAGTACAAGTTACAAGGGAATTTGTGCTTTCATTAATCGCTTTATTATATTATTAGTATTAGTATTATATAATACAGACATGTTTGTGACAATAATGGGAAAAACTGCTCGCGTTTGTGTTTAATTTTTGTTATTGTTTTTTTTTTTTGTAGAATTGTGTTTATAAATATTTAAGATAATATGTGTCATGGAAGTTATGATTATAACAATTTTCAGTAACAATAAGTTACGCCGTTTTAGTCAGTTGATGAAAGCTTATGATACTTTACGTACGGAAAATAGATGTCAAAAACTTATGCAAATAAAGAAGAAACTGTTAAAATGTTTTTTCAATTAGCAGTTTTTGAGAAACCTTAAAGAAAGGGTAGAACATTACATGATTAAAATTTTACAAAAGGGTTATCTTAAGCGAACAACGTGTGATCTACGTAGAGAATATCTGCTATAGAACTGCTTGTGATCACTTAGACCACTTTTCACGTTTCCGAAATTAGTTTTCAGGAACACTAATTTCTACTAACTGACTTTAATTAAAATTATTTGCCAAATTTCAAAGAATTATGAAAAATTTGTGTTAACTATGAAAGATTGAAACCTTCCGTGGAAGCTTTCAAAGCGTTTGGGTTAAGTTGCATATGCTCTGTTAGTACCGTAACATACCTATATGAAATCTTAGGCTACAACAAAGTAACAGTAAGAAGTTCATTCTCTTTTATGTTCAAATATAAGAAAACTACTATTTTATTTTATAGTCCACCATTAATTTTCAAACAAATTAAATTTTTCGGTTCAGGAAATTCGCATTCTTCTTGAACCAAAATCCACCATTTATAGAAGATTTAAGAATTACTTGTATGAGCAACTTTTGTAGCTTTATAGGCAATCAGAAACTGCCTAAGGAAACTTTTTGAAAGAAGAGTTTTCTTGAAACTCAAGAAGTTTTATGAAGTTGAGTTGAAAATTTTGTACAAAAAATTAAGGCCTACAATAAGTATCGAAGTATAATCTGACCCAATGCAGTAACGGAATAGAAGCCAGGCTTTATTGTCGAATGTGAAGTGAATATTGTCGACTTTCTGGCGTCACACAAAAAGAGCACTTAGTAAGCGCAGGTCATCGCTCTATTCGAAGAGAATATATATTATATGTATATAAGAAAGTAGATTCACTCACCTTTCTCTTCAGCTTCCCTTTGGCTTTTCTGCTGTTGCATGCGTTCAATGGCAATTAACTCTGCAAATAAGAGAAAAATGAAATAAAAATTAAATGAAATTTAATAAATGAACCCAAATCATATTTCTGCAGGTTAGTTGCATTTAAAAGTTGTAATATTTTTCGGCACTTGCACGCGCTGCACCACAAATTGTGGCATAAACTTGTTCTTCGAACATGTAGTTATATTAACTGCTAAACTGCTAAGGCATTACCATGAACCTACTCAACTAATGTTAGTTTTAGCTATTCGCCGTATTTCTTCAAATAAAAACATACAATTCCTAAACTAACAACAACAACACAAACTAAAAGTGAACAAACTTAACTTGCTCTGCCACACGTACAACCAGATAGCAAAGTTGCAAACCAGCAGACACAAGAAACGAAACAAAAGCAAAAACATAATGTAAGTATAAATATATCTTATGTATATATATGTATACAGTTATGTAAGTCATGTCACTGGAGCATTTTCACGAGTTCCAGTTAGCGGCACGGCTAATGGAGAGGTAAGCGAAAAGAAATATCTCCAAAGTTTGAAGCGTGCTGCCGAGTTGACGGCAGAAAAGAAAATCGGCTGAAAAAATCGCACCGTTTTTTGTTCCGTTCTCTAACAATTAGTTTTTTTTTTACTGTGCGAGTAAAAAATGTGTTTTCATTTTATTCTCTCTTGCTTTATTTTCACTCATTATTTGCATGAGCAAAGTTATTATTTGCGTTCCGGTTGAAATCCGTTTAAGTTATCGCTTTATGATCTAATGACTTGCAAGTGATTTACTTTTGATTGTCAATGAGTTCAGTTGGAAAATGGGCATGACAGGAAATTTGCTTCATGCCATACAATAATAATTCAGCCATATATAGTACAGATAATTATTATTTGAATGCATTGTTGTATGAAATGAAATATGAAATATTTTAAAATCTGGAATGTCTGTCCGACAATTTGTCAGAAGAATGAGTAGTAACGCTAACGTTAGATTTAAGAGATTTTTTGCTTATTTGTTGTAGATCTTTAACAGAATCGAAATGGATATAGAGGTCGATGTGATATAGTTGGGCACTACCTCTCTGGAACTATACTAAGAACTCATATCTGATTGGCAATTTTGGCACATTTTCCTCATAACAAGTAAGTAAATCTTCCTAACGTCCAGAAAGTAGATAACCATCTGAGATTTCGAAAATGCGATCGACATCGACTGCTTGGATGCTTGCAAATTATTCTCAGGGCGTTACTATGTCGAGTTATTTGTCCGATAGGACGACGTATTACAGAAATAGTGGTCCCATTTGTCGAAGAAAAAGTCTTCTTCCAACATGAAAACGCATCGGCTCCGACCATTGCCGTCGTCGGGGCCAAATTGGTCGAACTAGGCTACGAATTGCCGCCCTAACCAACGTATTCTTCAGATTTAGCTCCGTACAACTTCTTTTTGTTTACAAATTCGACTAATTTATTCGTCTTGCAGAAATTTTTGACAAATGGTTATCGTCGTTATGGAGACTTTGAAGACCTCCAGAAAGAAGTTGGAGAATTGCTGGAACAAGTGTTTCGAACTAAAGGCAGACTATGTTCAAAAATAAATAATAATTTTTCAAAATATAATATTTGTTTTTTGTACCATACTATAAAAGCGTTTCCTGGTATATTTTAACGGGTTTAGCAACGTGAAACCGCGCATTGTCATGCAGCAGAATCAATTTTCCTGCCTCTCCTGATATTGAGGCCGCTTTTTGCATGTACTTGTGGTCACTAATGTGGAAACGCAGTTTTTATTACAAATGTCTGGGTTAAGGTTTTGTATATATCGATCACCCTTAACTGCTGTTCTGCGCCTAATACTATTTTCTATGCAGAAAACACTGTAAAAAAGATATATTGAAAATAGTTGAAAAGCGAAGAGTTGATTAGTAAATCCTCGTGCAGAAACAAAATTAGCACTACCGTAGATATATTTCAAAAGAAACTACTAAAAAAAGCCGAGAATATTTTCAACGAAGTGATAAAGTGTTACTCGAAATTATCTAATACTAACTCAACCCTAGTTTGTACCCAAATTTTTCTCAACTACGAAATATTTCACTAACCACCCACAAAACAGAATTTAAAGCTTTTAGATAACATACGAAAATATATGTATTATATGATCGCAAGGAAGTGCCGCTCAGTCTCTTATTGACCACATAATTTAACCACATCGAGAACACCACACTATACCGCAACATAAAATGCACAACCCTTTGGGCGCGGTTAAACGAATCCCACCAACGCTGGTCAACTGTAAATAAGTATAATGGAGAATGCAAATAGAATATAATAGAATAGTGAAGCTTCTTCAACTGCTGCAGTTACCTGGAGTTTTTACTACTATGCAATGCAAACGCTTTTAGGCGACGAGTAGTCACAACAAACAAAGGGTGTTTTTAAAGGGTGCCATTGCACCTGCTGCTGGGTTCTCAAATGCTTCAATGCATGGAAGCACGTGAGTTTGGAATCCTCTATGAATACTTATGAGTACTTTCTGTGTGTCTCTATGTTTTAAATATAGCAGAGCAGTGTTCTTTTTTAGCCTCTTCCTCTCTTCTTCCCGCTTTCTTAGTGCCACTTTGGCCGATCCTTTCACGTTGCTCCTGCTAGTTTGGCCATTTTCATTTCTCAGCGGAAATTTACCATATGTTGTTAAATTTTTAATGAATTTTTAGTGCCATATGCTGGCTACAACAACAAAAACAACAGCAACAGCACCGAATATACCAGCAACCTGTGAGTTCCGTCATCTTTTTACTATTTAAACTAGCCGGGTTAAATGAAGTTTTCACAAAATTAAGTAAATATGTAATTCAACACACAAACACATACACATGTATTTGAGTAACTACAGTTGTGCTCGGAAGGCATTATTTTTGGTCGAGCAAAGCGTGCATTTGAACGAGAGTTTACAATTTAGAAGGTTCGTGTGCCCGGTTGAATGAAAGAATGTGTGAATAGATAGATGGAAGCACGGAAGAGTACCGTAGTTGCCTGCCTGAATAGGTGCACACTTGCCACTTTTTGTTTACAATTTTCGGTTTTCACAAAAACAGGGCTACTTGAATTCACAACTTGCGCTCAATGTGGCTTTCTATTTTAATTTTATCTATATTTGTATGTATGTGTTTTTTGCAGGTGCATTCTTATGTACTGTAAGTACGTTTTTGTGTGTGTAATAGTCATTTGAATTTCTTTCGAGCTTTCAATGCTCGACCATATACTATAAGTGGCCATATCTTTGTTTTGTTATATGAATGAGCGGGTATTTGTATGTATGTAGGGACTCTATTCGATGTGGTGGCACTTAAATTTTCCACTTTATTGCCTGGTTGTGCTTTCTCGACTGATTTTTAAATGCTTTAATGAATGTAGTGCTGCATATATGGTATATACTTATAGAATGAATGACTTCATTACAAAGTAAATGCACCAATGTGGCCAAATCCACCAAATCCTTGCGGTGATAAATAATATCTCCAACTTGTAGACAAGCATATAGCTTCATTAAAAATACATATGTAATTAAAGAAAGCAACTCGTTTTAGTATTAAGAATTAATTTCATTAAAAATTTTCAGAACTTTTTCTTATAAAAATGTTGTGGCAACTAGGTATACAAGTATATGCTGAAACAATATCCACAAGCACCAAATAAAACTAAATTTAAGTAGCTGAACGAGTCCGTCAGAGGAATAGCTAACCGATAGAACCAAGAACACTCAACAGGTTATATTAAGTTTTACACGAAATTTGTTCTGTTCTTTTTTTGAAACCGCTCCTATCAGATCACAATAGCATATAGCTGTCATACAAACTGAACGATCAAAAACAAGTTTTTGTATAGAAAAATTTCTTATTTGAGAAGATATATTCATCAAATTTAGATTATTATTGTTGTTGTTGTTATTGCAGCAGTTTTTTCCCTCTTAGATGGTAAAGTTCGAATGGACATATATTTGATATATCGGGTTGGATTCTGGATAAGTAGGAGCTTAACCTACTACAAAATTCAGAATGAAGTTACGCAATGGTCACTTTGGATTCTCGGGGCAACTTAAGCTTTTCGTCTGTAATTGGTGGTGGTTAGACGCAAAGTACGCCGTACACTGAGAGGGAGAGGGTTTCAACGAAAACATCCCAGCAGAAACTGCTTGGAGAAGAATTCAATATGTTCCTTGACCGGAAGCATGCGGGCCTCGCTGTGTAAATCTTCAATTGGGTACATCAAGAGGCATCCTGTAAGCATTCGAAGTGCCGTATTTAGACACATCTGAAACGAATTCGTGTGCGTTTCACTACATCCAAACGACTACATTGGTGCGGCGTAGTTTCGACTGACTGGCCGACTGCCTTGTATGTTGCCAACAACGTTTCTTTGTCCTTTCCCCATGAGCTGGCGGCTAGCGACTTGAGCATTTTATTGCGGCTCTGTGCTTTGCTTTAAACCCGGTCGTATGAGAAGCGCACCGGAGCACAGGCTGTGGAGTGTAACACCTTAAATCTTATGGTTATAGACAGTCGGAATTTTAATGCCATCGACGTGATATTGAGATCCAGTCTTTACTCCTTCGTTCAGTTAGTGAATATGGTCGCTGTGGCTTTAGTGGATGAGAGTATCAAACTCCTAGAAGAAGCAGAGAAGAAGCAAGAAAGGTTGGAGTGATAGCTGTTTACGTGACGTCAATATCGTATAATCATCTGCGTATGCGGTGAAGGAAGTTCCCTCTGGTGGTTGAGGGATTTTTGTCAGGCCGCTATATATATATATATATATATATAAAATATATCAAATTCAAGTTATTGTATGAAAACTTTTTTATTATAGCTTCAGTGTAGCCGATGTTAACGTTTTTATTTCATTTTATTGGAAAAATCCATTGTCTTTTAAGTAGGAAAGCAAACATCAATAATATAAATCAGCTATGCAACAGAACTCTGCTAGACCCTAGAATAAGTAAATATTTTTCAAACAACAAAACTTCTTAAAGAAATGGTTATCAGAGTACACTTATCACTGAAGTTCAATTCAGATGATAGAATTGTTCGAAGACTGAACAAGTTTGAAAGATAATAAAATGCAAGGCAATATTTTGTATTTCTAGTACTTTGTTTCCGAAAGATCAAAGTTAGATATCTTCCAAAG